GCACGGGGCAAGCACTGCCCCTGGCTTCTTTCATGGTTTAAGTTATTAAAGTAAGAGTCAAATGTAATGAGGCATTTCTTCTAGTATGCCCAGGACATGCTATGCTTATTCCTTTCAGAGCTTATCCTTTCAACAATTTTTGGCAATGCAGATTTTTAGCAGGCAAGTTGTTTTGTTATATTTGAAGCTCAATTTACTAAAACAATCCGTATTCTCCTTAGGTGCAGAGACGCTCCATATTCTTAAGTGGCAGTGGTGGGAAAAATATAATGCTTAAGAAGGCTTTGGAAGGTGTCTTGAGGAAGGTGAGTAGTAGTGGCACAATGCAACACTCATTTGTGATTCTGCAATACCAAGGCATTCCATTTTGAAAGCGAAGCATAAATCCCCTAAATGATGGTGACTGGGGTGGAACTTGTGACTGTTCTAGTGGCATGCTAAGCAAGTGAGCTGAATGACTGCTTCTTAAGTGTGAGCTATGATATTAATTACTGTCTCCTTGGAAGCTGGTTGGGAAAGTGGCTGTTTATTTTTATTTACTCATGGCTCACCTTTCAGTCGTTCATTTCAGTGGCCAGTCTGGCCCAAACCACAACACATTTGCATATCTTGCAGCTATTGGTGTCCTGCATTATACGGTTAAAAACTAATAGAAAAATGGAAGGGTTGCTGAAGGACATAGTAAGAGGTTTAAAAATGTAAAATCTGAATTACTTGTAGTACTTTAAAAGACCCCTTAAAAAACATAATTTAAAACAATCTACAAGTTAGCCCACTAAGAAGCAGCCTCTTCATTAGTAGCACCTGTTCTTAAACAAAAGTTGAGCAGTAGCAGCAAAACTATTCAAAATAGATAGTTATTCCATTCTAATGGAATGTCACCCACACAATTTTTTGTTGCAGTAGACATCTTAAAGAACTACACAAAACCTTTGCAATCTTTGAATGTGACAGATCCACTATAACAAAGCTGTAAATATTTCCTACGCTAAATGAATGCAGCCAGCATCATCATAGTATTAGCAATATTACTTTTAAAGTAACTGCACATCAATATGTCATGTGTTTGTAGAGTCTAATGAGTATGCAATTTTTTAAAACATCTAAAGTTATCATCAGCACCATCCTGTATTAAAGATTTGGTGCAAATTCTGCAAAGGTGAATATATACCACTGATACAGCCTTTGCTGTGAAAAATTCAGTCGATTTTGGACACAAATATAAATAAAATTAAAAGTTGGCACATTCAGGAAATAAAGTGTCTGTGTTCAAGACCATTGTTTTGATTGACATCATCACCCTCAGATAAACGTTTTGAGTCTGAAGAAACAAGTTGCATGAAAATGTTTCACATTAGTTAGGTTTGGGCATTGTGCTTTTCCCCCCACCACATGCTTTTCACAGGCTCATGCACATTGCACATCAGCAGTGTTCAACAACAGTTGGGCTGCTGGTCAATAATCTGGCACATCAAAGGTAACTATCGGCTCAAACCAAAGAAAGCAGAACCTGTGTCAAGATGTGTTCACTTTGTGGTGGTATGGACCAGCTGATATGTCTCCTCTCATTCCTTGTACGCTCGTGTGGGGGATGTGCCTTTATAGAAGATGTTTCTGGTGTTCTCTGGACTGCTCCCTCTCTCAGGGATTAAAATGATGTTACCTTTTCTTCGAAGTGTTGAGTCCCGGCTAGAAGAAATGGACAGAGTCTCTGAGCCAATCTCACTTCCCTCCACTGGCGTGACTCTTATTGTAGTGATTCCATGATGGTGATGCTCTGTGTTATCTATGTTGCTCCTTTTCCTGTCACCTGACCCATAACTGTCTTTTAAGGAGTCACAGCTCTCAGAGTCTCTGTTAAGATCATTTAGCTCATATGTCTGACGAAGGGTGATTTTTTCAGGACCTTTCCATTTCCATGACCCACTTCCTTCACCTTCTGATGGCATCTGAATTACAGGTCTGTTATTTTCTGGATGGGCCTCAACTCTGACGATGCTACTTGGCTCATGGTCTGTCAAGGTCTTATATCTGATGGCTCCTGTACAGGTGACCGTGCTTCCCTCTGAACTCTTTGGACTGCCCTGAAGCACTCCTTGCTGCTTAGACATGGCTATTACTTGCATGATTCTTGGCTGGCTATTGCTTCTACATGCAACACTCTTCTCAGCAGCTTTCAGCCATTTAGCTCTAGCTGAACTACTTTTGGGTGATGTGTTCACGTTCTCCTGAGTCTCTTCAGGAATATGCACTAACTGGGATGAACCAGGACGTGACTGAATAGAGACCCTTGGCCCGCCAGAAAGACCTGAGTTGTTACAACCTGGTACACTGCCAGGTTGAATTTTCAGGTATTGGCCAGGTGGACCATGATGATCACCATTTACACCCACTCTGGAGGGTTCAGAGCTTGACCTCATTTCAATAGCCCTTGGTGGTGACTGGCCAGACTCAGTCTCTATTACTTGCAGTGACAACTTTCGACTTTCATTCTTGTTCTTCCACTGGGAAAGCAGCTGCTTGGAACGGGCAGAATCCATCGATGCGTGTATTGTTGCATTTCGTCTTGCTGGATCTTCCAAGGATGGTGTGTTGACTCTTGGCAAAGTGTTGCTGAAAGTAACCATATTTTCCTTTCCCATGGGACTTCGTGGTGTTATTATTTCTACATCAGCATTTGCTCTCTTGATATTGGTCAGAGACCCTGTATCTCTGTGGTTTCTGTTCAGGATACTTTCTGTACGGTGAGAAACAATGCCATCGCTGCTGCTACCATTTTTACCTGGCAGGATTCTGTTGGCATCTTGACTGAGGTCTGTCAAAGACCTTAGAGGTTCTCTGTGAAAATTTGGGTGAAACACATTCTCATCACTTGGTAAGAAGTTTCCCACAGCATAAAGGCCCTGGTATTTGAACAGAAGCATCAACAGTCAGTTACGGAAAAAAAGATACATTTTAAAGTATTTTAATTATATTCTTCTGCCTTTAAATAAATACTGAGCAACAGAATTAATCCAGCTTAATTGACAAGGTATGCTCACTTTCCTTCCCCCACCAGTATATCCTTATTCCAAATTCTGTCCTCAATCTGCTACATCTAGATATGTATGAAGTAGCCTCAGCAGGATAACTAGGGCACATAGTTCACGGCAATAAATAGTTGAGGAGATTTAGCCTCGAGTTTTCTTCATTTTATAAAGCAACAGATACAGCTGAAGAAGGAATGTTTTGTTATGAAAATAACAAAATAAATGTTTTCAGTCTTCTAGGCAAAGCTATTTTACAGCTACAATACTGTCTGCTCTGATTTACTGAATCTTGTTACAGCTTGAGTTGTTCTCTGCCCTGTGATTCTGCCCTTTCTACTGCATAATAACCGTGTAATACAATATCTACATGATAGAACAATTTATCAACTTTAAATCAATTGCTTTCCAAGCTGTGCAGAACTGTAATAAGATCTAGTTATACAACATTTTCTTATTCAGCAGACTCACTGTAAAATGCTGTCATTTTAAAAAGACTTCACCAAGACAGAATATTCCATGAAAGGGTCAACTGCTTGACTCAATCACTTAGGTTGCTTGTTCTTTACACTCCTTTCAGGAGTTATTTATAGTTTCACGTTATCTCCCCTGCCCCTCCCTCTTACTGGTGTGTAAGTTTTTGGGGTGGATTCACTGACTACTCGATATCCAGGACAATGTACTCTGATGTATGCTGTCATCTGACAATATATGGAGAAGACTTAACAAAGAACATACTTGTTGCGGGTTTCAAACATGGGAAAACAGCTCCATTTCTCAGCGTTTACAACAGCTTAATCATTTGAAATAATATTCTCAGCAGAGTGCCTGTCTGCTCACAGTGCAATCGTACAAACTGTCTTTAGTAGCTCGTGGGGTTTCTGTTATCTACCCTGGTCGCTGTTTCTTCTGTCACTGTGAAAGCCATTTTCCCCCCAGTCACCTTTGAAGACCATTTGCATGTATCTTACATTATCTTATCACAGATAAAAGGGGGATAGGACATGAACTTATTTGAGTATTATACTGAAATTCATCATTGACTTCTTAGGGGTCAAAACCATCCCCCTGGCTGTTAAGACTCTTTTGTTCATCTGCCCACACTGGAGCAAAAACGTTGTCAGTAGAAGTTCCTGATTACTCACAGGCACCTGGGTTGACACTGTGCTGAACAGCTAGGGCAGCAAGTTATGTTGCAGACATACTGAGAGCAGCAAGCAAAAGCAAATGCTTGATGAGCTTCCTACTGACAGTTACAAACAGGTCTATCCTACATACTCCCTTACCTCCTTCTGAGCTGCTCCCTCTGTCTCAACCAAGTACAGAGGAAAAGTATAGGAATAACCTGGCTTGGGCAGCCTGTTTCCCCTGCATAATTTCCCCAAGAGCTGCAAAGAATCACAAGGGTGTAATATTGCTTTTGATTTCTTGCAGGATCAGCAATTTACTCATCTGAGTTGCTGCATATTAATGTAACCATTTTTTTGAGTTTATAAAGCTAATGTTTGTAATAAAAACTCAGGCTTGCAACAAATACCAATTAATCCAATATTTTTCTTGCATTATGCTTGTAAGTGTGGAGTAGAAAAGATGAGTACCTTTAAGTATTTAATGAAGCACATAATGTCAGAGCTGTTTCTGTATACAATGCCAGATGATTACATACCACTTTGTGCACTGTTATGACACTTTAAACTGAAATACATATTTGCTTTTCCCTGTTTATTTTTGAAGTGATTACCCCTAACATCATCATCTTCAACACATTTTGACTATATTTTAATTATGGTATGTGACCGTGATGAAAGGTTTTAATAAAAAATACTCTTATTACAGCCTTTTCAGTTTTATTTGCTAAAACTTAACTACATGAATATTATATTTACCAAATAGAGAGCAATTCCTCCTCCTATGAGAAAGCCACAGTAAACATCAACCGGATGATTCTTATACTGGGTGATACGAGTCAAACCGCATATAATTCCACAGATGATGAAAGCGAAGACTAAGAGTGGTTTCAGAAGTTTTGAGGAGTCTGTTAACGTGGAATTGAAGTACATCTTGAAAAAAGAAAGAAATGAAGAAGCAGTTGAAGAAACTTGAATATACGTAAGAGGATATTAGTTTCTGGCATTTAATGTTTCTTTAATACATAGATCACTATTCCACAGTAATGCTGCAAATAATCAGTTTAACTTTAATTTACAGCCCTGTTAAAATTTGCTTACTTACTGTAGGGAGATCTGAAATCACAAGGAATGGATTTCCAAAAGCACAGGTAGTGTGTCTTGTTGACATCAATTAGGATTAGGATTTTATGCCTAAATACTGTTCACAGTCAGAGACTAAATGTTCTGTAAATGTGACTAAGGAGTCATCACTTCTGAAACACAGAAGCCAGATGTCATGCCAGATGAAAGCAATAACCTGTTCTAACAAAAACTACCACCAGATGCTTTAAAGATCCATTTCTCAGCTGGGGGCCATGACGTCAGGGAGGTCACAAAAATTAAGTGGAGGTGGTTCATCAGTATTATTCCAAATTTTGGCCTTTACCTCAGCAGAATAAATACTGGCAAGCTCTCAATACATGCACAATTCCATTATCTACTTTGATTAACTGGTTGTTACTGTTTTCCTCTGATTTTTATAACATGAATGATGGAATTATTTTATTTTTTTTTAAACTTCAAGTAAGTGGTCACTCATAATAATGTTGTAGCCCATACTGAAGAAATGTCATTGATGAGATGTGGAAAATCAGCTGTGATCACTGCTGCATGTCCTACAATTCCTTGCTAGTTACTGATGGTTTTTTATTCACTTGCTTTGCAGTAGCACCTTGGAGGCCTCTGGGAGTAATTGTGCCAGTTCATCCATGCTGCAATTCTATGGAGGTCAAATGAAACTACATCACACAAACATTTGTTCCTTAATGCCTCAAGTTTAAAAGCAGCAAGTCAAGTGAAGACATCGATAAAGAAAAGGCAGAACACACAAAAGTTAATTTGGATGGTAAGTTAAAATATCATCCTATAAGACAGATAAGCACTGCCTTTTATATGTGAATAATATGAGGCATCAAATATACTTTAAAATTACACTTTTTGTTGCTTCTTAACAAAGAATGTGAAGCAGTTGAATTTTTTCTTAATAGCATTTTTAATAGCAGCTACAATAAAACTAGCTCTAGTAGTTTTATTTTGCTTTCAGACTGAGAGGATAAAAACTTACAACCATCGAGGATAACCAGGCAACGTATCACTTTACAATATACAGCAAATGACTTTCTGACTTTGTCTTGTATAAGTGAAAATCAACAGAGTTGGTTACTCACCGAAATGTACACTGCTGCAAAGGCTGCCAGGGTGGCGTGTTGAGAAGGGAATGACTTTCTGCCAAGGAAGGAGACTCAAATTATGCTTCTTAGTTCAAATACATTATGCTAGTGTTCACTTGAAAAAAGCACTGGGTGGTACAGTCATTTTCAGCTTACACTTCCTAAGCAACATCTGATGGATCAGTAACATTAAATTTGTAATTTTCTTTTCTATAATCTGGAGAATGGACAAATGTTGATGAAAAGCCTTTGTTTTGAAGTAAATATTTAGCATGAAATTCTTTTTGTGTACTAAGAAAAGTGTGAACGAGATAAAGAGAGAGAATAAGAATGAGAGAGAACAGTGGGAACAAGATAAAGGCTGAATGCTGATTGAGAGAAATATCTATACGTTTATTTCTATAAATAAATTTCCATAATAACTTTTCAGTAAATACCTAATTATACAACTTATTTAGTGCATGAACCTTGATCTTAAGATTATTCTCACTGACTTCATTCGGACTCTTTACAAAGTAAGGAGTCATACACTTTGATAATCAGGCCCTAACTTCAGCAACTGAATTAATCACCTTTGTGCCCCTGCTTTGTTGCTCTAATAATGGGGGGATGACAGGATGGGATTCTTCTCAGGGAGATGCAATCTACATCTTTATTTACCATGTCTTCACATTTATTTTTCAAATTTCAGCACTTTATAACATAATAGGAGAGAATGGAGCATAAGAACCCGTACAGGGCATTTTAAGAGTTATCGGGCAGCTTCCTGAAGCCCAGAGCAAGAGGGTAAATGAAAATATGTCCAAACTGTGTGAGACAGTAGGCAATATCAGATCTATTATTGAAATTTCTGAGGGCCTTCTGCTCCCATTGAAACCCATTGAATGATATGGACTGGGTCTTGAGTCAGAAACTACAGATGTGAAAATTAAAAGTGACAGCTTAGATTCTACTTCTCTGACCAAGAAAAGGAAGGTTTGCATAACAGCTACACAGAACCATCACATGAGGCCCGCTAACATTTAAACATTATTCTTCTTACAGATCCACTTCAGTCTTCTAAAAACAACAAAAGAAAAGTGATGGGAATATGAAGAAGACATTTTTACAAAATAGAGGGGAAAATTTAGCTGGGGGTGAATTCAGTAACACCTGTCCTATGGCAGACATTTAGTCCATAGGTTGTAGAAACCCTAAAAAACTTCTATGATCTCTGAGCTCTAGAAGTGAGTAAGATGCAGTGAAGATATATAGCAGTTTATATCTGTACTTTTATCTCCTTAAAATGCCATGGACATGTAATGTAATGTGCTGGCTGTCTTGGTGAAGAAGGGTATGTCTATCTTGCTGCCAGAGCAGCCACTTCACCTGAGAAAGCTCAGCTTGGGATAAATACTTGAACAATCATTTAGCTTCACAGATGGGTCTTGCCACCCTGACTGGGCTCCACGTATAGTTATTTTCCTAGCAGCACCTGGGTTAGCTAGTTTAAAATAGCAAAGACTAACAGGTAGTCCTTTAGCTTTAGACAAAGACATTTTTTCTGCAAAGCATCAAGAGTCCACTTTCTAAATTTCTTTCCTATGCATTTTGCCTTGTCTGTTCTAAATAATTCATTGGCAATTAAATGTGAGCACATAGTTCAGTGTGAATGCTACACTGCTGACCTGAATTTGAGCCCGTGGCTCCAGCAGGCTCATGACTCTGGCCAAGATGAAATCAGCATGATTCCTTATTCCTATCTAAAGACAGATCTCAATTCTTCTTCTTCTATTTTTTAGTTTTTCTTTCCCCCGCCTTGAACAAACCTTTGACAATTTGTATCCCCAGGGAACAACTTCAGGGTTGAGGACAGGAGGATAAAGACATGAAAAAAATGTAAATGTTTATAATGGCTAATCAGCTCCTTTACAGTGTGCAGGTTTTAGTAGAAGCATAAATCTACTTACAGTCTCTGTGGAGCTGATGTGTGGATTTGAGACTACAAACTTTAATACCACTCAGAACTTAATCTTGATTTGATGGCATTTTTATAGTATATAAGGTATGTCACTATGCTACAGTCAATTTTCTCTTTATTTTATTTTCTATTCTTATGCTTTCAGGGCAAGCACAGCATGTTACACACTAAATGCTCTCTGTGCACTCTCTAATGGTGACGCTGCTTTTGTTCCTCTATTTGTTATCTTTTAATCTAAAATGAAAATAATTCAAGCTGTAGCCTTTTTGTAAGGCTCTATATTGAAAAGGTGAATAAAGATCTCCTAGAAAACATGTTCTGAACTTAGATGACAGTGTATCACTCTAAATGCTTATGCATGAGGATGTGTAGAGGGGGAACAATGATGAGAAAGAGTCATATCGAGATGGAAAGTCATACTGAGTCAGAACATCAGAAATGATAGAGGATAGAGATCTGAACAGAAATGACTCAAAAGGCTCTTTGAAGATAAATAGAGGAAAAGATGGACAAAGGAAACTACTGGATATTTGGGGAAGTTACAGAAAATGATTTCATATAATCAGCTGGATAATTATGTGTTCTCTATCCTTTCCATAGGGCAGTCTAGAGGCAAATTTCTGGAGCCAAAGTTTCTGGAAAGTACAAATGAAAAATGAAGGCAATCTCATATGAAGAAGTCCCTTACAGGCTGAAATTACTGAAGTCAAATTAACCTCCTCGGCTGGAGAAGTTATAATGTAAGTCCTATAGTAGATGACTGAAGGAATTATTGAACCAATAACAAGTTACACTTTGTTAAAGTTGAGCCAGGCATAAAGAAGCAACAATTTCATGAAGGAAAAATGCAATAGTGGTGCCAGAATATTATAGATCACCAAATGTATCCTCTATGATGGGAATGATCACAAAAACTGACTGCTTAGTTTCAATATGTTACAAGTGGTTTTGCTTATTTTTTGGAAGTGATTATATTTAAACCTAGGAATGATCAGTGTTTTTGGACTGTCCACAGGCAGTCAATTCAGAGCAGTAGGAATCATATTTGAGACAATAATGAAATGAATGAGATAAAACAATGAAAATTTTTCTGCTCGCTCACGTGTAAAGCTACACCGATTTCCCTGGGACACCACGTATGTGTGAGACACTGTTTGCAAACATCAGGCCTCAATGGCAGTATCCCTCTAACTGCAGCTGGTTATGGGAAGAGACAGCGAGGTGAAGGCTGACACAGTAATTCTGGTTATGCCTTTCACCAAAACTATTGTCACCAAATTATTTGGGCCAAATAAAGCTACAATCCTTCATTCCATCTCCGGATCACGCCCGCATATATAAATTGAAAAGATATGGCAAATTAATCAATGCTAATTATGATTTTTAGCCCACTAGACATATTTAAGACCAGATAATTGCAGGTCTTTAAACATCAGTGAAATTGGTTTGTCCCAGTGAAAGCAGACAGATTCTGGGATTTGCTGGAAGATACTTATAAAGTGAATGATTTCATGATTCCCAAGTGTGTCGACCATTGAAATTAATGGAAAAGCAAAAAAACTGGGGGAGAGGTGCCTTAATATATAGACAGAACATTTCAATAATATCCATGTAACAAAAATGTAATGCCACGAGGCACAAAGTTAAAACAGAAGCTAGCATCTGGGGCTGCATACAGAACAAGAAAGGAGTGCAAAGTTTTAATGAAGTGAATGTGACAGAAGTAACACAGCTTCATGTCTACTAATCAGGTACACAGAGAAATTATGCAGCTGAATCAGAGACAGAAACTGTAGTCAAGCAATCTATAATTTTGCTGTAATTTTTTTGCAGAGCAGGAAATTTTAAAAAGCACCAAAAGCTTGAAGGACTGCAAAATATTCAAACACTCAATGACTATCAGGCAACAAAGGTTAACCTGGTGTGGAAAAGATATGGAAGACTACTATTTTATTCAGTGAAGAGCTTAATGATTTCTTAGTAGTGTAGTGCCTATATTTAGGACATTTTATGGTAATGAAGTCCTTGAACTAATGAGTAACAGATGTATTGTAACAGTACAACTTAATGGCTTATACCTTCAGATTCTTTGTTTAAATCTACAACCTGTTATCAGTTATTGAATTATCACTGTTTTATCACATTGAGCTTGTTTAAAATAAGATGTGTAGTCTGGTTTATATCTTGACTGATGCATGTCCAAAACCTGCTACTATAAACAATATAAATTGCTCTCCTGGCTATCTGTGTAGGGACCCTAAAGACTAAATGATCAGGGAGGATAAAACACCAGTTAGAAATACCATGAAAGAAAAGTTATCTGTTTGGGATCACACAGATTTGCTCTGTTGTGGTCTTTCCTCTAATAAAGGGATTTTTTCAATGCTGTCAATATAAAAAACTTCAATCAACTAGAGAAACAGGAAAAAAATAAACTCCTCCAACAAATCCCAAAATCAAGCCTCACAAACTAAGACCAAAATGCCAGGACAGTAATGTATGTTATACTGGGTCTCAGATAAAGTACTTGGGTGAGTTCTTCCTGTGCCTCTTATGGGGAACTTACCCACATCCCTCTGGGAAAAGCAGCAGGAGCTATACTTATTAATAATTGTATAGGAAATTGTATCCTTTGAAGGAGGGAAAATAACTAGCTACTAACTGCACTTTGGAATCTGACAAAGTCTTCCAAAGCCCGCTGTTGACCTAGTATCTTTATACAGAAAACTGAACGTGACTAAAAAGACACTTATGCTTTCACCTTTGTTACAAAAAAACCTGTCAAAACTCATTCAGACTTTTAACTAGAAAAAAAGTCTTGAAACTGGGACAGAAAATAAAAACCAAAATGAATACTTGAAAATGTACACAATGAAGGATAGAACCAACCTTCCAGCATTGATAATATTGAGATCAGATCCTGAGCAAATATCTTCCACAACATATGAATTCTCTGAGCAGGATACATTTAAGGATGTATAGTTAGGCTTGCAAACAGTCAGGAAATATGGTGCCTGATATCCTGTTGATAGCTGTATAATATCAGTAACAAGAGCAGTAGAACAAAGACCAAACACATGGACACCTAAGAAAGAAATCAGTAGAGCTTGTTAACTCTATTATATGCATAAATTAGATTAATTAATGATGAAAAAATACATTCAACAGCATTCCAGTGGCTTGTGTCATTGGACTTGACATTGGTTGTATTTAACTGAAGAATAAGATGTATTTTTTTCATGAAGACTTATTGCAAAGTTTAATTCTTTAATGAAAAAAATTAAGATTATCGATGCTTTTTTTTCTTCCTGTTAATGCTTAACATTTCATTTTGATGGCTTGGTGTCCTCCAACATCTTTTCATAAAAGTAAACTACCTTGGAGCTGCTTCAACTGGAAAGCAGTTTTCTGAACTGACTAAAGGGCAGGCAACTATTTGAGGAGGGCATACGTGCTCATCCAGTCCTTAAACTTGCCCACTGGGATACAGGCTTTTAATAACATGGACAGCTGTCCATTAAATCACTGCTCTGAGGACCTCTTCTCTTTTTACCAATGGGGACTCATCAGCCAGCAATTAGGTTGGTTACCTTCACACCTCTGATATTTCTGAGGTCTGTCTGAGGTCTGACTCAGTCCTTGCCACAATTCCAAATATTTAAGTCTTTTTAGTAACTGATCAATGTTTCTGTCCGTTTAATAATGCCAAATTCACAAGGCAGTTGAAGTAAATGCAATTATTTCACTGAGCATTTTCAACTGTTTGTCCCCTAAAGATTTACCTCAAATTCCTTACTTGTATCCACATAAATAAATTTATTTTTCATCTTAAAATTGAAAGAATGCTAAAGTCAGCAACATATGAAAGAAACTGCAAATCCAGCGTATGAATCAAGAATGAGATTCATGCATCTATAAGCTTATCTTTTTTGGTGATAGAATGGGATGCCATACAGGAGAAGATGAGAGCATGGGGTTTATATACAGTCCTCCTTGCTGATGTTGTAGTCTACTGTCCCCTCTGCTCACTTCCTCACTGCTGCTCTTAAGAGGATGCTTTACTGGTCATAGACTGTATAACCTCTGCTGTCATCACCTCCCTGCTTGCCAGACTACAGAAACCTAGTGCATAGTCCTCCTACCAGGTTTGGAGTCTGCTGTCCTGCAGGTTGTCTTTGCCTAAGCTGGCTTTTCTAATGAAAGAATTCTGGCACAGAGAGAACTTTTCCTTTAGCCACTCATTGGTAGTAGAAATTAACGGTAAGAAAGGGGAACAAAGTCCAGTTGCCTTTTCAAGTTCAGTTTCCATAAATGACAATTAAAACAAAGTAAAATAAAATGATTCAACGTGTTTCTCTCTATCATTAGGTTGCTAGATTCTAGCCCTTTCTCAACAGGTAGATAAACACATCCCAGAAAAAGAATGTCAAATCTACTGACAGTTTCTGACAAGTTTTTACTGTCATGCTGAATACTGTGTCAGGTGGGTTGAATCCTTATTATGCACTGAAGACAGGCAGGGGAAACTACATACTGAAACCATTAAAAGAAAGCCAGCTCAAGGTGGGCAGAGAATGAAAAACAAATTATTCTTTTAGAAACACTGACAATAGTACAGGAGAGGAAAGGAAAATGGAGAGTGTAGATGCTGCATTACTGAGTATGGGCCTACTCTGTCCCTCCATTTGACAGTTTCTTCTTGCATTTTCTGGCAGAAGAACTGTGCGAGTGACAGCCCTGCACTGTTCTGAAAGGCTGTTTCAGAGAAGGAAATCTGCATGGTGGAAACTGAACGTATATGGAAAGCTCTTCTTTGTGACTAACATTTGAAACCCACCAACAAATCTGACAGCTCTTCTAAGGAAAGAATTGAAGTTGCATCCTCCTGCATTAATATTGGCTTCTGTTCCAATCCCATTTCTTCTTTTGGACAGGCAGCAGTAGAGAATTCCTTCTCCTATCATTATCTGCAATGACAAAGGAGCTGTTAAATTAAATGTAGCAGTTACTTGGAAGACACTGATTGAATTTAAAGGGCTGAAATAGAACTGTACCACAACCATTGTCATCCACTGATGTGTACTCTCCTTTAAAACATTGGTATCACTATGCAAACATTCAGTAATGCAACTTAGCCTGAGTGAGGGCAGGCAAGAAGGTGGCACTTGCATTAAATGCAAGTGGCATAGAGTATACAGTGCTCAGTGGAATCGAGGTTTTGATCCACAGCTGAAAGTTGATGCTTCTACAATAAAAAAGTACTAATTAGAAAATCTTGCCTCTAAAATAATCTAGAGCCACTGCAATATCTCAGTGCTCCTGAGGTAGTTTTAGCACTCAGTCTTGGCCTCAAGCCTAGCAATCCCTAACAGCTTCTAATTACGTGGCAGCCTGCTCTTCTGTGTTTGTTTAATTTGGCTAGGGTTTTAACCAGATCCATAGCGGTAGAAAAAGTTCTGTCCTTATGGTCCCTCTGAACATACCAAACAAAACAGATTATGACTGAAGCCCTAGACAAGAGTTTATAATAAAAATGAAGAGAAGAATATGCATGAAAAATGGTGCTACTTGCTGGAAAATCCTGATCCGTGTATACATTTGCAGTCTCAGGTTTGATTGTTTTCCTTGTTAAATAGTGCAACAACTTAGAAATCTGCACAAGGCTTGTACAGACTTCAGAATAAGGGCTGGGTTGAAATATTGAAATTAATGAGGCAGTTCTCGCCACTAAGAGGTGATTCACCTCATCTATCCACAGATGTATTGAAAACTAATATATGCAATTCACAAAGCTTACAATGCAACGAGATGCTAAAGCATTTGAATTATGCTGAATCTGCTGCAATTAGCATTGAAGTGTGTGCATGCTAAGACTCCTCACCCTAGGAGAGGGGAGATACGATGAACAAGCTTAGTCTAAGTCTTTTTTTAGCCAAGGGTTTAATAAATTGAAATTTTCTTTCTTTGACAGAAAAACTGAAGTAGTGATGGTTATCTCATTACTTGGAAAAGGCAGTGGTAAGTGTTATTTAAGGAATGTTAATTAGATGAAAACTATGGTCACTATTATCTGTCTCCATTTGATCAATTTGCAGCTGAAACCTCATGGAGAAACCAGTAATATTTCAAACTTAGAAAACAGTGAAACTCCTTTTTAGCCAAGCTCTAAGGAATGTCTGGCACAGGGAAATACACCAGAGAGCTGGATTAGCTCATGTGATAGAGGAGAAATATGGGAAACAGCAAGGCCTATATCAAGGAAAATTCAGAGGCTGGTATTTCCAAGGAAACAAACTCCCACAGCAGAGGAGGCAGTAGGACTGAAACTGCCAGCAGTGAATTTCTCTCCTTGCAGATTGATTTCCCAGATCAATGTAATCTAATTTCCCAGTGATCTCTGTTAGAAAGCACATTGTTACCTTTAAGTAGGTTTTTAGTCAGTGGCTGATAAGGGTTTGAACCTACACTGACATGATAAAATGACTGGTCCTAACATTTTTGAATTAATAGCTAGAGGGAAAATATGTCAGAAGATCAGATTCAGGGTTCTTTGAAGCGAACAGAAGTCATATTGCAATTCAGGTATATCTATATTCCAGACATAAAATATTCACATTAGGAATTTCATACAAGTCCAGTTGCTCCACACTGAAGTCTCCTGTGGTTTATGAATACCCACAGAAAATTTCATATATGCCACAAGCTATAAGACATATGTCAATAATACTGATAGTAATTTTCTGTAGCGCTTCAGGGCTACAGAACAGACCCTGTTAAAAGCAGTTGCTGCTCACTAATAATGAGCAAAATACCCAAAGAAAAAAACAACAAACAAAAAGCCCCAAATTGACACAAGATCCTCCTGTGATAATGGCTTGGGAAAATATATTATGAAGTGATAGATTTGTTGCAAAAAAAAAAAATTACTATAAAGTGAATAGATTTAATATAGTCTCTGTTCTTGGGAAAAACTGAGTATATCAACAAAAAGAATATAGAAAAAATTTAAGTCTGGTTGTAATATTTATATAAGGTTTTAAGGCGGGATTGAGAGTGGAATTTGCTTGTCTTCCCTCCTGTATTATGTAGAAGAAAGACGTTTGGGAAGCTTCCTGTTGGCTTCATTTAGAGCTGTTCATGTTCAGAGGCCCAGCATTTGTAAGCAATGTGGATTTTTTTTTTTTCTCCCCCCCCCCCCTTTTTTTTTTTTTTTTTTTTTCTTATTTACACTCTTTGGTAGTATTTAAAGTGTGTCTTAATTACAGCTGTATTTTGAGTCTTGATGACCTTCTGTCTCCTAAGTACCTGAAGACAGAGGCTAACATATGCTATATTATTGGAGATCCTCAATTACTCACATAGCTCACGCTTTCTGTATTTTACAGACTATAAAGTGCGTAATTCATTGAAATGCTAATGAAAATGAAATTATAAAATGCTAAACTCCACAAGATGACAATGGGACACTTATAATCTTTTTTGCACTGAGCTTCATTGGCCTATTTTCCAAATAAAATGGGAAGAATTGGACAAAAAAAACCCTCTAGTTTTTTACTTCAGGAGTGGTACTGAATAATAAAGAGCCAATGCTCTACACCATCTTCAGTGCCTTTTATTAAAGGAGGTTGTGTATTTTGCACTATCAGAGCCCATTTTCCAACTAATGCAAGCATCACATTCATGCTCACACTAACACAAATGAACTATACCTTCCTAAGGCTTGCGGCTTTTAAACAGATGCACTTTGAAGCTTCAGGATTTACTTTCTTTACCAATCTTATGTTTGGTAGGCATGCTCAAGTGTGGGTTTGAGTTCCTTACACGGAATGGTTTTGATTAGTTCTCTGTACTGCTGGTAGGAGAATGTTTTAAGCAAGAATAATATTTTCTGTTGCAAAATTTCATGCAATGCTGAAATTATTCAGGTGTAATCAAAGCCCATAGTAAACACACTATAATGAAATGGGTATCTTTCATCTCAGTTGAAGGTATTTGATATTACCTAGGCTTGACATAACCTCCGAAGTAAAAATCGGCTTTAACCCCTCCACTGTGGCCCAAGTGAGCCTATATAATTCCTTCTATGGTTGTTTCAGGAATTTTATCGGAAATACTGTCTAAACTTAAGAAACCCAGCCAAACTGCAATAGCAACAACTTTAGTTTTTATCACAGTATTCAGTGTTTGCTTCAAGCATCTATACCAGGAGTGCTGAGAGTCCTAGCTCAAAGTTCCTAAATGAGTACAATTTTCAGCCTGATGGTTGTGAAAAATCCTTCAAAAATGGTTTCTAAAGCAAATAAGACCAAATACAGTAAGGAGAGTTTACTTAAAAAACAACAACAACAAAAAAAAAACAAACAAAAAAACCCCAAACCAAACTAGAAATAAACAAAAAAACATCCTGGAAAGCAAAAAGAGAAGAGCGCTTGATGATTTTTAAATTGGCACCACATTTTATACATTTTGCAGTTGCAAATTGGCTAGTATTATGAAAGGAATGAACTGGTTGAATTCAAGGGAATTCAGAGCTGGCAGCTGAGATACATTTGCAGCTGGCCTTAGAGAAGTACCTAACCAAGATGCACAGTTTTTGCTGTCAGGGGAGAGAAGAGACCCTTTCAGAAGGGTGACACAGCTTTTTAGGTGTATGGAATCACCCACTCAAGGTGAATTTCTTGCTCCAAATTTGCCAAACAGGAGTGGTGTGAGAATAAGGCTCCTGTCTAAGCTGCCTAAAATCAGACAAAATTAATTCCCTCTAGTATGTATATATGAAAAGGTAAAGTCTTCAGATTTCATTTTAATTTGACACAGGAATTCCAGCAGGGATAACACTCACCTTCATCAAACAATTTGATTATTTTTTTTCTGTAAAATAGTGTCCTGATTTCAGCTGGGAAGGAGTTAATTTTTTTCTAGTGATTGCTGTGAAAGTGATGTCAATAATACCTATTGTTTTCAGTTGTTGCTAAATGATGTTAACACTACTCAAGGACTTTTCTTTCAGCTTCCCATAGAAGCATAGACAGAAAAATAGAATGGCCAATTTACTATTCCATACCATAGACGTCATGCTCATATATGCTGGGGGGTTACCTGGGGTGCAGGACCCCACAATCACTGCTCTGGACAGTGCCAATTCATTAGGCAGTGAAAGTGACCATGTCATTATTATTGTTATTTTTCCTTTTCTGTTATTTTTTTTTATTAAACTATCTTTAACTCAACCCATGAGAGTTTTTTTTGTCCCTTTCCGCTTCTTTTTTTCCTTCTTCTCCCCACCCTTCAGGGGGAGAAAAAAAGGGATATGGTGAGCAAGCAGCTGCATGGTTCTAGTTGGGGTTAAACCATGACAAATAGTGACCAAACTGCTCTCGTTCTGACAGGATATTTCTGTTCTGCTGAAATCATCTTCTCCCTTTGGGTGAATGATTAAACCAGCCTCCTTTGCTCTTAATGACTAACTCACAATTTAGAGGAGTCCCAGTGCTACTTGGGAAAGTAATTGATTTCAGTGACACAGTTGATGTATACCTTCTCACTGAATAAAGCTCGTTCTAACAAAAGCGGGATGTTCAGGACTGTAAATGAAGGCTTTCATTTCCAACATAATCCTGAATTTTTGGTGTATCTCAGAGTAGGGAGATGTCCTGTCTGTAAGAGTTCAAATATTTGTACAGCATTAACAGAATGATTCAAGCTATTGTCACCCGACTGCAGATGCTGTTTCTTAACATTAATGCCCACAATCAGGATAGTGCAAGTAGATAGAGTGTTACAGAGAATGTTTTAAGGAGTGTGTCTCTTTCTGTTATAGAAGATTAAAAGATGAATTTGAAATTCTAAGGTGATTAGCCTGGATGACACTGCAGCCTAACTGAAAGCGAACAAGTTATTTTCTTTATGCTAACTGAAACTCTGTTCAAAATTTTTAATAAGTGACAGTTGGCACCTCAGACTTACCGTAATTGATGGTCCAGCAAAAACCAGACTAAGCAACATCAAGAAGGGAACAGACTCTTGTGTAGGATCAATATATGGCATACTCAGACTCTTGTCATAGCAATTAAATCCAGAGTGAACTGGCTTGAAGACATCAGTAAGTTCAAGAAAATAGAGGCTAACAACAGAAGATGCCAATATGGGCAACTAGAAGAGAAGAAAGCAAAAAATTAGTATTTGGAAAGGGAATAGCAATGCTTTTGCAAAGACAACTTAGTCTGTTAATAAATCTCTGTGATGTTTGCTATTTACATTTCACTGCTCCTTGTCATATCCATCTTACCATCTTTAAATAATTAATTCTCTAGAGATATGATACTATTCAGTTGATACCAAATAACCCTGCTGCCTACCAAGCTAGTCAAAACACCCAATCCAATCTTCAGCCCACATAATTTAGCCTTTTCATCTATGAATGATTAATAGACAAACTTTGATTTTGTAGTTTTTTTTTTTTTAAAAGGAAGCACTTTGGCAAGACTCAGTCAGTTTAGAACATTGATGACTATGGTTCACAATTCTTTTATCCACTAGCTATTTAGGGATTTTCCCCTTCGCAATTACTTCCAGTAATTTATTAAGAGCGAAGTTGGCCCGTCGGGGGATAAATTCACCCCAGCTTGCCACTAGCTCCTGAAAGCACAAATTCAATCAGTAAGCCTCTGTGGAAGGTAGTTGTTTCAGAGAAGGAAGAGCAATAAGGCATATTGAAGCCATTGGCTTGCAAGTGAACAGAGAGGGCAGCCTTGCCCCCAGGGTGGCATTGGGACATTCAGAGTTGACCAGCAGCATGCGATTATTCTCTGTATCCTCATAGTAAATGCTCAGAAACATTTTTTGTTTGTTATTTCCTAGAGTTCTCACTGAACAAGGCAACATGAGAACAACTGCCTGCTCTTCCACCGAGATACAACAACTCCTTCCCTGTGTCTCTACTGCGATGAAGGTACTTAAGGGTTATATGACGTGAACTGCTTATCTCCTTCCTTTTCTTTTTTCTTTGTAAGAACTTTTTCTCACTGTTAGCTGCAGCTGGAAAGTAGAAGCTTGCTACTGCTAAATAGATTCACTTAGATCAAATCATAAAAGTCATCAAAAATCATATAATACAACCTGATAAGGGTTTTTTACTCAAGAGATGATACAACCTGGTAAGCACCTCACATTATGAGAAACAGGGATTGTTTTAACATAATTTCAAAAATAGACTATATTTTTCTTGCAATGTTCAGTACACGTTTACAAAAATAATAGTTTGATTAACATGAGTGTCATACATCCCATTCAACAATGGAATAAAATAGCAGAGGTAAAACTGGATAAACATGTATATTGGAAAAGTTATTAATATAGCCTACTATATATGGCAGAGAGACAAAGGTTTTTTGCACTAACTGGTCATTTTCAGATTTTTAAATATCGGGCTTTTAAAATGCAGACTTTTTGTGCATGAAATGCAATTCTGTGTGGTCAAAGAAAGACGGGCCTAGCTAAATTTCACTGAAACTTTATTTTAATAGAGCTTAGGGCTTTTTTGAAAAGAACAGCTTATCTTTGATGTGCTGAAGGACAGATTTGAAGAGAGTGAGTTGTCTTTTCAAAGTGTTCTAAGCAAAATCTGCAGAAGGTGGAAAATAGAAGAATTTTGTCTGTTTGGTTGTGTGAGTTCAAGATGATGCATTGTAATGTCACATAGTACAAAGACTGTGATTGCGTAGAAAGGGAGGGAACGTGCACTGGCATTCCTAAGTGCTATGAGCATTACAAAAATAACACTAGGCATCTAGTAGGTTTGCTTCAGCAAGTAGTGTGTATATATACACGTATAACCCAAACATAGATGTACATCTGCACTCACATACTATATTACACATTATATATTATGTATAGCATATAATGTACACAATATATAATACATATTCTGTGAATACATAACTATTATATGATATCTGACATAATATATATGGAATAATTATATACAATGTAATTAAATTGAGTTCTGCTTCCTGCCCATCACAGGAAGAAGTCCAATTCTTTAGCTGGATGCATTATATAATACTACTCACTTCCTGCTGGGTGCAGTCCCTGATTGACTATAATGCAAGCACACATGTTTAGTCAACATGGGCTAGACTGTTTCTAGCCATTATAGTGATGTGCAGGGGTTAAAGAGCACTTCCTAAAGTCTTCATTCTCTTGGAATTAAGACTGTGGGACTGGGTGCCCTTCTCTCCACACCTGCCAGCAGAGACTCTGGAGCTGTTGGGGACCAGGGGCCTCCTGACCGGAAGGCTGACACAGTGCACACTGCCCTGGTGTGTGAGGAGCTTGCAGCAAGTCTCTGCTGCTCTTACTTGCACACTGAAATTCTGCACAGCACTTGAACTCACACATATTGCAACTTCACTTCTGCACAGCATTTAACTCTTGAAATATTTGCAATGTCTCTTATTATTAACTACTTGAAAGTCACACCTAATGACTTAGCCAGTGTCTAGGTCCCATGGATCAAAGCATCTTATAACAAGACACAAACCTATAACAATTAGCTAAATGGACAAAATAGGCAAACTGCCCTTCTTTTCAGAAATTATGCCCTTTTATCTGAATATTCCCAAAGGTTCATTTCCTAGAATGGAAACACAGAGCAGGCAGACTCATGGAACACCTTGCATTCAGAGTTTCATCTTCATTGTGTATTATTCCATTTCTCTAATGTCAACCAAAGGCAGGCCTCTCGTTGAACAACAGGCTCTGCATTATCCACAAGACCACCTCTACTTTTATCATGGTATTCCTAGGGAGGCAACTGTTTTAAATGGCAATATTGAACTATCAAAAATAGGTGATACATAAATGATATTTTATTGGGAGACACTAAAATAAAAGATGTCGATAACTTCTTTTTAAAAAACTACCATATGTAAGCTATAATTTTATTGTTAATTACAAAATCAAGGAATCATAAGAATTGCATTTTACTGTCTTATGACTTCACTGCAGGGCTCCCATATTATTTCTGACTATAATTACCCATTCTGCTAAGAGAAAAGAAATAATTCTAAACTCTATGAATCTCCAACATGACTGCTTATAATACTAATGAATAGGTTTATAGTCAATTTGCCATATACAGTATGTCAGGTCCCACAGGACATTTTTCTTCCTATCTTTTTAAAAATACAAATATAAAATGCGTCTTCTAAAAGTCTAGCGTTTCTAAAAAAAAAGCAAACGTTTCTAAAAGCTTCTAAACAGTATAACTGGCTATTTAATATATGAATATTTATGGAGTGTTCTGCTTAAGGCACCAGTAGTTCTGTAATTACAGACTTCAGCTCCCAACACCTTGAAAATGTCAAATATAATTAGATGGTAGAGTGTGTATTGTTTTAATTACAAAATGGAATAGGAATTTTCCTGTTCCTAATTAGAATGATAAAACCCCCAACCTCAGTTCACATCTCTCGACTAATAAGTCTTTATAGTCTTACCTCCTGGGTTGGCTTATGGAGAGAGATCCCTCTTTAGCTTGTAACTTAGACCTGTAAATGTAGAGTTTGACCCATGTGGTCAAACTCTGGCTTAGAGTCTTAAAGTTAGGACCAAAATCAGCATAGCTGCTGAAAAGATTTGATTTGGGGTTTATTTTTTTTAATAGATTTTAAAATTTTTCCTCCTTTTGTTTTCTTAAACTGTTAGAAGTTAAGAGCCTTTATTAAGCCATAGGACTTGGGCATTAATAATAATTAATATTAATAATATTTTAAAAGATTTTGCTGTATTGAGCTAGGAATTCTCCAAGCATGATACAAGATGATCTCTGTTGACAAAAGCTCAACAAGGACATAAATACCTAGAGGTTTTGTAAGGAGAAAAATAAAAGGTTAAAACCTCATGTTTCTTATATAGTTCAGGACAAACCAAAAGAGCATTCAGTAGCACAATAACTTCTCTGAACTGATGGGATGTGTAACAAATGTTCCTCCTGGATGAGAGCCACAAGACATATATCACATAATCAGAGAACTGAAAGATGAGATGGCTGTGAGAGGAGTTCAGTGGTGGGAGATAACAGCTCTTGTGTTGTGATTGCTCCCGGGGCTGTTTTAGGGCGCTTCTGGTTTTCTTAAGATTATCCAGGACCCACAGTGCCAGCACAATTTATTACTGGTCGTATGACACAGCCTAAGCATGGAAGCCATGGTGGTGCTGCCCAAACCCCACAAGTTGGCTTCCCCTTAGCCACCAGGCCCAAACTTGCTGGGGCACCCCCATGTAGATGGAAACACTTCTATTAAATTTCCCCATGATCTGTTTTGCATGGCTTCAAGTGCACAAAAAGAGGAACCTGTAGAGCTGTAGCCCACTAAATACAGTATTGCCATTGCTACTAACAAGCCACAGATTTTGTACTGAGCTTGCAAGGACTCAGGACTGGGGCTTGTCAAACATGCTTTGTCTGTATTTGTCTTGACCTGTCTGGAACTTTGTTTTTATCTGGTTTAATTTTAACAGCAGTTTTTCTAATGACGTTAGAAATTAGGCTTTGCCTGGTTTGTTTCCCTTTCACATATCTCTGTATGGTACAACCCTGCATGATTTTTATATCTATATCTTCTAGTAACAAGTAGTTATTCTGTATAAAACGAGTTATCACTAATGTCACATATCCCAAATCCTTTGTCAGGACGAGTATGATGTTGATGGTGATTCTTCCTCTCTCTAGGAACAACTTGGGTTCATTATTATGATTGCTAATGCGCTTTTACATCTTGCTCTTTCTCTTTTGGTCTGTCTTTTAACATTACGTTCCAATATACTGTATTTAGCATGGTTTACATGTGTTGGATGCTTTTTCTTTGTACTATTTGTTACCCCTAAAGTCGGTTTTGCCACCTGCAGTTCTGCATTTCTTTATCTGACCATTAGGTAAGTTGTTTATAGCCTTGAGGTCTCCAGTGCCACCATTTGCCCCATCTCTTACCCTACACCTGTACCTCCGCCACACTGCACCCTCTGTAATGCAGGAATAGAAGTCTGGTATGATGGCAGAGGTCTTGCAAACGAGGCAGTGGAAGGCCAAGCCTTAGCAGGAAAATCTTACTGGAGCAGATGGAACCCTAAATAGCACAAGGTTGTCCTTTGGATAGGTCAGCATCTGGGGTGCTGACTTTTGTCTCCAGACTTCCACCACGCATACACCTTGTTGTTCTGAAGGAAACACTAAAGTGCCTGCTCTTGAGTTAAAATGTAGGACTTTGAACTTTACTTTTCCACAGGGTCTCTGCAGAGCCCTAAATTTCTAATTCAAGGCTCTCCCTCCCCTCGGAAAATTTCCAAATAATCAAAGCTTCACTAAAATAACATTCTCTCTGCAAGCGTTACAGGCAAGCCAGTAGCAATCGGATATTATTGATGGTTTCTTAAATGACACCATGGAGATAGTGAGGCTCAAACCAAAAGAAAAGCAACAAATAAGCATGTACCTATTACCTCCCCCCCAGTTTCTCTCTTACCTTGAAAGACTATGCAAGTGGATACATACATAATTCAAAACTCTCAGGGAATAAGTAGCTTCTATAAATTCCCATTCTATAAAATTGTACACTGGTAGTTACATATCTAACTCTTGTATTTGCCAGCACTTAACTAAGCAAAGAGTCCATATTTATCTTCAGGAGAACAACATTTTAAAATCCATGGCCTTTATGAGTGTGTCACATACTTAAAGGCATGAACAAGTTGCCCAGAGAAGTTGTGGATGCTCCATCCTTGGGAGCGTTCAAGGCCAGGTTAGGTGCAACCTGGTCTAGTGGGAGGTCTCCCTGCCCATGGCAGAAGGGTTGGAACTCAATGATCTTTAAGGTCCTTTCCAACCTAAACCATTCTATGAACCTGCTTTGTAGGTTGCAATTATGTGACCTCTCTGCTTTGCTAAAATGC